TCTCGTATTGGAAAGCATGTTTCCGGGAAGGAGAGGTGTCGAGGTGGCGTGTCGTGGTGAGTAGATTTCCTCCCCGGGACGCCGAGTTGGGCGTCGGTACTGAGAGGGAGGCGGTGAATATAATGTCGAGCGACCAACATAGTAAACCAAACTCACGATACTGGTGCAGACGACTATGGTCGAACAACCATGAAAAATAAATAGCAGGACTTTGGTTGCACATTTAGCTCAGAAATAAAAGACACGCCAGTAGTTGGACAACCAATCATTCTATTATTGGTCACGATGTACCACGGATCATTTCCACGTTCTTTGTAAACATCACATACACGATGTGCCGGCCATCCAATGGCGGGATGTGCGGTTTCCTTAGTGCACACACAATCAGCGTCAGCTTCATGAGAGAAACATGACGCACTTGCTAAGCCAGACTGGTGGCGCCCTACTATTTCATCAATAACCAAATACTAGTATACTATTATCTTGTTCCCGTATTGGACATTTGTTTATTTGCAGCAATTTCCAATTCTACGCCAAGTCCTTAGTAATTAATGATTCCACGTGTTTATTTGGCCGTTATTTGACTGACGTAAAATGTCATAATGTTAATTCGCGGAAATTTAAACACACTGATACTGATAATGAATTACAAATTTGCCAAAAAATACTAAATTTGCCATTCCATGGAAATGATTGAAATCAAAATATTTGGCAATATATTAAGTTTTGCGTCGCATGCACACGATAGAAATATCATATAAAATGGGCCTAATATACTAATGTTGTATTTATTTAATTGTAAGAACGAGTTTACATCCTGGAATGGCCACGATGTACCACGGATCAAATACACTATGACCGACATATAACCTTGTTTGATATGATCGTATCGGGAAAGTGCATTGTAAGGTTAACTTTAGTTTGATTACAATATCTCTCGCTCATGTAAATAAACGTGGGACTCGGGCAGATGGAATAATATACTCATATATCTAAAATCCCACGCATTATATTCCATTCTATCATGGAAATCACAACTGAATATACTACACAAATTATTTGTTATTCTAATTACGATACTGGAATAACTTCAATAACAGGGTTAGGGTTATGGAGATGTAGAGTTAGTTTTGATGGTGGGATGTTTTCAATGTCACACTCATCACAATAAAACACAATAGAATGCATATAGCTGATATCTTATCAGCGATACAATATAATATTTGTTACAAGAATAGTAATCAGTATCTATTTCGAAATTATAAAATTAATACACTTGTTTAATAAATATAACATTGGGAGTGTACAAATTGATATTGAACACAGTGATTGTATTTAGCGAATATTCAATATATCGTAAGGCATCTTGTAGACTGGCAAAAAGTGATAGTTAATTGTTTTAAGTCCTTTTAGCGTGACCGCGAAAACTAACGTGACCGCGAAGAAATCCTCGCGGTCACGCTAGTTTTAGTTTTGACAATTAATTTTTTTTTTTTTCAAACAAAAAAGAAGTCCCGACTTTGCCAGCCTAGGCACCCTTACTCGTTTGCATAACAGAATGCCGTTCACGAACACCGATTACCCTTAGCTTTTTTCTATAACGGTTAAGGAATATAGTTATTTTTGTATTTACATTGTCAGTGATGCATTGTTAACCAGAAATGTGTCGACGTAAATTTGCATCTCAAATACATGCGGCTTTATATCACACACACGTTTGTTAGCCGGCATCTGAAACTGCCAGAAATATTCGAATTAATATAATTTATAATGATAATTCAAGAAAGATTGTTAAAAAATATTTAAATCTTGAGATATTGGCGTATTTTGCGATTATTATCCATCATTCTGTTTGCATGAACTCATTGGGTAAGCGGTAATGTTATTACATACACTGAACTACCGCGATATATGAGACAAATAAATCGGTGTCTCTTATTTTATAGTTTTATTACAAACGAAAACAATAATTTTTCGTGTGAGAAACTTGTTCAAACTAGGATTTAACATTATTTGTTAAAATAAGCGATGTTTCTTTGTGAGTTATTGATTTCGTTATTCCAAATTGTTTTAGCCAGCAACGAGCAAACGTTGATCACAACCTTTATATGACCTGACGACGACATATGACAGATGTTGATTTTTTACACTGAACTGTATATTAAACAAAGTATACATGCAAAGGTAAACATTCTTATTGCAACGAAAATGACAGTTTTTGGCTCCAATCCCACAACCTTGTACAATGTTAAATTAACCGTCACGTGACATACGTTTTTTTTCAAAATAATTTGATTGTCATCATCAACACATTGGCAAGTGTTGTTAAATCGATTTAGCAAGCAGTCCGTTGGCCACCATGTTATGTTGTGACATGTGACATCAGTTGTGGACATATGGAAAACGTACCCATATCTGGTCGTTTCCGTTGATAAACGTGGGACGCATACAGATGGGATTCTGTACTAAATCCACATAGGTACAATTATCTCACGTTTATAATTCTGCATTTTTGGATGAAAAACAATAAGTAGTTTATCAAATTAATTGGGCATATGACCCGTTGTTAATCGTGTGGATCGTTATGTTGATGGCGAACAGCAATAGTATTTTATACAAAAACTGCATTAATGTTGAATACATTGTTGACTTGTGTGAGATGCCGAGTTTGCGTCCAGAAGGAACGTAAACAAACTTCCACTGTACTTCACGCACACTGAATCTATATGTGCCGTCTCTGTTGATAAACTAAGACAGGCTCGAGTAGATTTATCTATAACACCAATCGCACTATCAGTAACCCAACATGTTGATACAAGTATCCCTCAAAAGATTTCTGTATTTAAACACCCATCTACCCCTGCCTCTGCACAGTAAAACGATGTATACCAATACATACATCATGTGGTCAATTCTCTTGTTTGTGTTATGTTGCCATCTTCATAGTGGACAGGGTAGGTCGTCATTATCATGCAATTGAAATAACGTGACTACCGTTTACTAGACATGGCGTATATGAATGTTTCTGCAACGTCAATTGTGTCACTTATTAATCCAAATGAGTTTGCCTTTTAAAATCTGTGCAAGTTTTAATGTGTGTTCAAACTCACCATATTATTGGTTTCAACATAATATTTCTAATATAGTCATATAAAACTAATTTGGTAATTTGAAGTTTGAAGGCTTAGCTTACGGATATATGGTTATATTATCACACTTTTTAGTACTTCGAAGTGTATTTTTCTAAGCAAAGACAGAAGTTTTGAAAATTTACATTGACGTGTTAAATAGTTGCAGAGAAAAGTTGTTTTATTCAGTGCAGTATCTCGTACATATATTGTTTATTCGATTTGAATTGATCTGATGGTGATGCGATCAAGTTTAGAACTAGCTTTGAAAAGATATACACAAGTTGTAATTGTTGTTCATGTCACATGTCAGCCCTTTAATAATACTCTTGTTAAAAGCAGCAATGTCGGAGGTAGTCAAGCAACCTTATTTGATAAGAGCCTGAGAATAAATTATTTATTGTTGGTGTTGTGTGGTGTATAATTTCATGATTGTTCGGTTTCCCATATACAGCGATTTTATTGAATAAGGTAATAACATAATAGGACATTTTATTTCTGGTAGAGAAATATACGTAATTGTTCATGTACCACATACACTTTTCGCATCTCACTTTTTACAGCGGGACCGTATGACTATGGTGATGCTCTCCAAAAATCGATATTGTTTTTTGAAGTTCAGCGGTCAGGGTATCTCGACAAGAACCGCGTACCGTATCGGTCTCATTCAGCAATGGGCGACAAAGGTCGGGCAGGTGAAGATTTGACAGGTGGCTGGTACGATGGTAAGTATGGCAAAACATTGTTAGGCCAGCGTACACTGCAACTTCCGATAGGTCACTAGTCACCAATGTCGCCATTTTGTTGACTTTTAATAATAATGTGACAATTTATGTTTCACGTATGTATTTTCCACTTCTGAACACATTTAAAATAAAGTTACAATCACTAGATTACAACTGTGAGAAATATTCACAAAATGGCCAGTGATATTAGTTTGTACTGGTCTAAAAAACAGAAACTACAGTTTTAAAATACCACGCTTGCATTCGAATATAACATTTTATTTAGAATTGATAGTTTAGAGAACATCAATACATCACCTATTGAAATATGAAATTGAATAATTTTACTTCTGTGTGTCTTTTATATTTACCTAATCTAGCAATTTAGCTTCATACGAGAACAATATAAAATAAGTTGATGCATTTATTTTTTTGGATTTGAATGTATATGTGAAGCTAATTTTTGGCTTTCTCCATATGTTTCTCCACAGCCGGGGATCATATGAAATTTGCGTTACCGATGGCATCGTCGACAACTAACTTAGCATGGGGCATGTTGATGTATAAAGAAGCGTACGAACACCTTCAAATATGGGATGAAGCTCTTATTCAGTTGAAATGGCCGTTAGATTACTTTATTAAATGTCATGTGACACGCGAAGAATTCTATTTTCAGGTAACTTTCATGGTGTTACAATGTTATTATGCACACACTTACGACTTCCAGTTGAGAACATACATTTGAAAAATTGAGAACAATGATTAATAAATGTTCGATCGTAACAGCTATTAATACATTCAATATGATGCATGTGTTCGCGCAAGACGTCTGAAAATGTGCAAATAACTGAAGAGGCCCTCTAGGGATTAAATGAAATGAAACGGCCCAAAATGAAAATAGGATTCTGATTTTCGTCTTTCATTTCAAAATCTTAATTTTGAAAACTAAATGTCGCAACCAAAGGCATAACATCGGGAAATACAGTGACATGCATCCTTCTCAGGCGTTGGAATAGTTACTCTTTGTTTTTAGGGTTCTGTTGGATAGAATTTCTTGTTATATTCACCCTATTCACGTGTATACAATCCAAAACACTCACGATACTGGGGTCAGTGAGAGGTTTTCTGCTGATTATAATAAACTGAGATAACAACCTTGTGATATACACTGCGAGACTGTCAAACATGCTAAATGTAACATTACTGTAAAAAACAACAATGTGATTATAGGTTGGTGATGGAGATTTGGATCACGCATACTGGGGGCGCCCTGAACAAATGGATATGGCAAGGCCATCATACAAAGTAGACAAAGATACACCAGGTTCCGATGTTGCTGGCGAGACAGCAGCTGCAATGGCTGCTGGGTCTGCGATTTTCCAAGAATCTGGTATGGTCTTAACTTGTTTATTGTAGCGCTCTCTTTATTCACAAAACCTGAAATCACACAAAAAAATGCACAACATTACATAACCTGTCTCTCTGTTCCTAGACCCTGAATACGCCTCCACACTATTACAACATGCTAAAGAGCTGTTTGAGTTTGGAATGACATACCGAGGTACATATCCCAACATGGGATTTTACGGGTAAGAGACATTTATACTGTGAATACATAGACATTTATAAAGAAACGCACAAACATAGCTACTTACAAGCCCACCAATTCAAATAACACAAAGCCATAAAATATACAATTACTCAACCACCTTATCTCCAACCATTTAAATTGGTATATAATCTGTATGTAAATTTGGTACTCTTTTTTTTAAAATATAAAATATATGTTATTTATACTGTGCTTCTCACAGGTCATCTAATTATGGAGATGAGCTTGCCCTAGCTGCATGTTTTCTGTACATCGCCACCAGTGATTCTGTTTATTTAAATGAAGCTGAAAAGTTGTACAAAGAGTTCAATCTTCATGAACTTGCCTGGTCTTATTCGTGGGATGAAAAGAAACCTGCAGTACAGGTAGTGTTTTATTACAGTTTTTTGTAATTATCATGTTTATCATGTATATTTTCCCGCTGAAGCATGATTATACAGATAATTGTTTGGGGTGAGTAGCATACAAGAACGTAACATCCTTTAGCCATGTACATACAGAAGTACAAACCAGGACAAACTCAACTGACTGCAATCTAAGCCCACCTTGCATATACAAGGTTTGCAGAATGAAATGTCACTCCATATATTAGAACAATAATGTATCTGTACGCTCATGTGCCAGAGAGCTAACCTGCTTCAGACCGCCGCGAGTGCCACCGTGTTGTAAACTTAGTTTATGTATTAATATCTCTACGTAGTTGTTGCTGACTGGTCTGACGGGAAATTCAGGGTATGACTATCAGACTGACTTTACATCGTTCTTAAATGAATGGTTGCCAGGTGGTAGTATTCCTTACACGCCGAAGGGTTTGGTTTATCGTGATCAGTGGGGACCACTCCGTTATTCAGGTAAAACAACAAACATATGTAAAATATAATCCTGAAAACTTCTTTCTGAAGTGATTTATTTTAATTTGATATTCCGTTTTATTTTAATGTAGCTAATGCGGCAATGCTTGGTCTGATAGCCGCGGATTATGGAATACGTCAATCAGCATACCGAGATTTTGCATACAGTCAAATTAATTACATGCTTGGTGATACTGGGAGAAGCTACGTGGTTGGGTTCGGAAATTCCCCTCCTCAAAGACCTCATCACAGATCCAGGTAAGTCCAGGAAGTTTATTGGATGCAATATAACCACCATGGAATCTATAAATATTAAAGGAATAAAATCATAATAAAATAGATTAATCACAAGCGATTTTTTTAATATTATTTCTACTACAAATAATTTTGTTCTAGCTCCTGTCCTGATTATCCTGCAAAATGTGACTGGGCACAATACTCAAGTCCAAGTCCAAATCCACAAACAGCCTTTGGTGCATTGATCGGAGGCCCTGACATAAATGATAATTTCGTGGATGACAGAACAGATTTTCGATCTAACGAAGTGGCATGTGACTACAATGCTGGATTCCAATCAGCACTTGCTGGTAAAGTGTGTTGTTTTACTCGAATTGTCTATATGTCTGTAATAACCCATGTAATACGCCGAATCCCGATTGGTTGATGTGACTAGCCAATTGGTGGCTACTTTACGTTGCTACAGACAACTTTGAGAACTCTTTTCAAAAAACATATACCTTACTCTGCATCCGTAAGATAACCTTTGTTGTTCAACGATGTCGATCTCGACAAAGCAATTGACGAGTCATTTATTTAAAAATTTGTCAATCCAGTAAAAGTCAAAAATAAAAATTTCTCCTTACAATACAAACTACAACCTTGCGCATTGGACGTAACTTACCCACCCGAATGTGAATGTAACAAAAAAAATTCTGTGACTCCTGAATAGTTCAAATGGAAATCCATGGCTTCTCGCGGATACAGACATATCCTAATGACCATCTGTTATGTGTTTAATGTAAAGCTGGTTGTGTGCGTCTGTATCCCATAATACGTGTCACATACAATATTAACACGTACGTGTGTATGTATGTTGTTTGTGATAGAAAATCACCGATCAAGTGTGGGTTTTCTAAAAGTTAACTAGAATGTGAGTTAGTGAACTTTAAGCCAATTGTACCAGTTTTCGCGAATGTTATGTAACTCTTTGTGTGTAGATGAATAACCAACTAGTGGTCATATTAGACAAAACAAATTACCGCAGGTACATTATATTAAATGTAATTGCTTCTGATAACTGTTTGTAAACACACATTGTCGTAACCAATGAAAGCAAGAGAAAACGAAAAAGTGAAGATTATCCGACATGATAACGCCACACTTTTGACATTTTTTAAAACCAAAAGAAATAAACTGTGGCGTTATATCCAATAACTCTCACTTTCTTTTTTGCTCGTGCTTTCATTACAGAAACGTCCAACCAGGGCAATGGGTCACTGGTAAATATAAGTTGATTTGACATATTATTCAGGACCTTGAATACATGTGTACTGAGATTGTCCTTACAAACAATAAAACCATGCAAGTTTTACAAACGCAATCTAATAATAATAATATATGTTATTGCCACTGGGTTCTATTTATTCAATTATTTATGTTAATGTTCATTTAATTACAGGTACGGTTCTTCTGGACATCAAAGGTAAACTTTCATATACTCATCAAAGAATCCCACACAGAGCAAACACCTCATGTAGTAATTGTAGTAGTGTTTATTTGAAGAATATATGCAATTTTATTTTATTGAAGGAATGACGTCACATTCTTTGCTAAATTATTATTTAATATTGATACAATAATAATTGTTCAAATTGACTAATGAGCTGAATGAAATGTCTTCTGAGAAATTAGCAGAGCATAGCGTTCATAATCACACGTTCAAAGCGGGAGGATCGTCACCTGTGCACGCTCGGAAATTGTGTTCGTAGCGACGATTACAACGCATGCTAAAACGCAATTACTCATGGGTAGACGCTTGTTTGTAATCAATGACACGCTATGGCCATCTGACGCATGCGCAAGTGACGACACTCCCACTTTAAGTCATTATGCTATAAATGCGTCAGATTGGTATGTTCGGATACCCATTTTCGGACTTTCTTTAATACACGAAGTTGGTTATAAGTAGTACATATAATGAATTATTCGATATGTTAAGAAAGAATAGTTAATTTGCATACCGAAGTAAGTGTATACGTTATATCATGAACCGAAAAAGCAAACAGTGCTTACTGTAGACTGTAATAATTTAGCTACACGCTAATGAAGTTAAACACTATGATGACAAGAAAACAAACATGATATTATAAATATGACTTTACCATATTACCACACATCAAGTCGGCGACAGTAGCAAATTGTGCAATACGTAAGAAACGAATACTTTTAATTTTAGCTGGTGCAGTCATAAACAGCAACGTCAGCGGTAATCATGGAATCATATTTAGGAAAAATGTGTCTGAGTCTAAAAATCAGTTAAATATGTTTTACGGTTTCGTTTCGATTTGTTTTGCGTATTTGACAGTTTGCTGTAAAAGTGCAGGTCTGTGTCAAATGCCCTTCTGAAAAAAACAAATAATCCAATATGTATCACAAAAACCGTTCGCATTTTAATCATTTACAGCGAAGCAATATGACTATGGCGAAGTTCTCCACAAATCAATCTTGTTTTTCGAAGTTCAGCGGTCAGGGTATCTTGAGAAGAACCGCGTACCGTATCGGTCTCATTCAGCAATGGACGACAAGGGTAGGGCAGGTGAAGATTTGACAGGTGGCTGGTACGATGGTAAGTACAATATAATCGTGTTTAGTCCAGAGAACACTACACTTTGTGGTTGGTCATCCAGAGTCCTACAGGTCTTGATCAACATTTCTGTAAACATGTGTAAACAATTATGTGAGTTGTATTTTGTAAATGACGACGAAAGGTGACTATGGCCCGCCAAACATTGAATTAAATGTATCTGACAAATGTTCAGATGTACATGGGATTAGACGTAACACTGAAAAATGCCTTCACACCTCTATCATATACGGGTGTTTGTTTTCATATACTTTCTTCATTAGATAGTATAGTTTATTAAATTATTGAGAAGTAAAATTAGCAATATAACCAAATGCTATTCAGATCAGTAGTCAAAAAGAGATTTACAAATCGAAAATCAAATGCGTGAAATATAAATAAATATGCTGTAAATTGATTTACACTTACTGATCCACAGTCACGTGGCACCCGTCATATATCATATATATCATATATCATTCTGAGCCGCGATCAAGTGGTTTCGGTTTGCAATCTGAGGCTTATACCTGACAAGTGACACTGTCTTCATCTGAGATCATCTGTATAACAGTGCTGTCATATTTAACCACAAGCTCATTAAATCGGCCAACAAAAACTTAAGCCTTTCTCTCTATAAAATACTTGGTTTAACAGTTATTACGATGCAATGTATTTTAAATAGTCTGCATATATCACCAGTCTCTAGTATTAGGAATGAGCTAGTAAACGTATGCTCTGGGTAGAAGAGAATAAACTATGACCGTGAAGATATCGAACATTGATGTTGGTAAAATTAAAAACATCTAGTTTGTCTAACAGTTTTGAAAGATAGTCAACCATTAATCAAATCCAAAACATGAATCTGAATATAAAAATATGACACATTGGAATATAATACCTAATTTTAATAATGTTAGTGAAACGAACATCATTAATATATCGGAATGTGAAATATTTAGTGTCTGTGTATTTTTAATCTAAATTCTGTGGAAATACACATAGAAATAAACAATGAATCGACCACAATCACAATCTATTCCCACTTGGATGCTGATTCTTTATTTACAAATATAAATGAGTTCTAATCTCTAACTGTGGAACCATATTAATGGTCGTTGATTTAATTGTATGTGAATGTTTCTCCACAGCCGGGGATCATATGAAATTTGCGTTACCGATGGCATCGTCGACAACTAACTTAGCATGGGGCATGTTGATGTATAAAGAAGCGTACGAACACCTTCAAATATGGGATGAAGCTCTTATTCAGTTGAAATGGCCGTTAGATTACTTTATTAAGTGTCATGTGACACGCGAAGAATTCTATTTTCAGGTAACTTTCATGATTGTACCATGTTATTTAGCAAACTGTCAAACTACACACCTCGGATTTCAAATTGAGAAGTTACACTTAATTTATAATGTAATAGGATTGCGCAAAAACTTACATTCTCTGCATACCGCTACAGATGTTGAGTAATGCAAATGAGATTAAGGAGATGTTAATCCATATTTTTTGAGATTTGAGATATTAGCTGGCTGGTTAAGAAAATATAAAAACACTAACGCAGAAACAAACTTCCTTAAGGAACATTCACTCAAAATAAAATATATGTCACATGTGTAATATCAAAGGTGTTTAATTCCATACACACCACAATTAATTCACCAATGTATAGTGTAATTTTGTAAGGTCTGTTTTTGTCACGGTATGAGCTCTGCAAATAATTTGTGACTATAAATTATCCAATTTATTAAACTTCTGCATTAGTTTACTTGTTCTTTGCCAAAAGCTCAGAACATAATACAATTACTAACTCATTTAATAAATCTGATATCGTTCAGTGACTCATGTCAGTTTCGGTCAACATGTTTTTTGATAACTGGTTGTTTATTTTTCGACCATGCAGTACGATGAAGAATATCAGTACTGCTATGTGAACAAACACTAGCACGGCGCGTATATCACAGTTGCTCATATGAAATTAACATAGACACACGTGTTGATTAATTTATGCTTTAGAATCTCTCATGGTCTTCCATGCAGACTAAAGGAAATATCGTATAACAAGAAATTTGAACCGTTTGTTTTGTACATTTCCTAAAATATATTTTATTCAAAACGGTACTCGACAACAATTTGTTTTATTTAATATGTTCATTAAAATGTATGACAAATTATTATATGAAACAGACCATGGTCGAATAAATAAGTTTGTTTATTATATGAATAGAAATACTAATATCTGAGCTTGCCATGAATAGTATAATGATCTGTTGGTTTGTCAACAAAATAATTGGATTATTGTAACTAGCTTTGCTCTGCTAATCGTCAAATCATAATTGTCATTATGGTAATCAATTAAGACTTTTTATACCACTTAATCTGTTTTCAGGATTCTGCTGAATGATTTTTTTCTATTATTCGTACAAAATCGAAAGCCTTTACAATACCAAGTGGGAATGCAGTGTTATGATTTACACTATTGTATTACAAGTTTAAAAAAAACAATGTGATTATAGGTTGGTGATGGAGATTTGGATCACGCATACTGGGGGCGCCCTGAACAAATGGACATGGCAAGGCCATCATACAAAGTAGACAGAGATACACCAGGTTCCGATGTTGCTGGCGAGACTGCAGCCGCAATGGCTGCCGGGTCTGCGATTTTTCAAGAATCTGGTATGGTTATATTTTTATTTGTTGATTGACTCTTTGTATTCTCAAAACTTAAATTCTGAAATCACATGAAACGATTAATTCGCAACATTACATAACCTGTCTCTCTGTTCCTAGACCCTGAATATGCCTCCACACTATTACAACATGCTAAAGAGCTGTTTGAGTTTGCAATGACATACCGAGGTACATATCCCAACATGGGATTTTACGGGTAAGAAACATTTATGTATATAATCTATATCATGCAATATTCATTGTTTATCTACCCAATACCAATATCCATTAAATATACAACTAACTACTCAACCAACCTATCTGTCATGTTTGCATCATGCTGGCTTTTTAACACCTACACCGCAGAAGCGAGTAATCCCCGAAATTCCCCTTTGAGCTACATCACATATCTACATATATCGATATTGGTCTATCATGTGTATGTAAATAATCAGGTATTTATTTTAAACAAAGTATATAATATAACTTAGATATGTTATTTATACTGTGCTTCTCACAGGTCATCTAATTATGGAGATGAGCTTGCCCTAGCTGCATGTTTTCTGTACATCGCCACCAGTGATTCTGTTTATTTAAATGAAGCTGAAAAGTTGTACAAAGAGTTCAATCTTCATGAACTTCCCTGGTCTTATTCGTGGGATGAAAAGAAACCTGCAGTCCAGGTAGTAATTCACAGACAGTGAAAAAGTCAATTTTATGAGATATATTTTCCCGAAATATCCACAAAAATACCATTCGTTACTAATATCACCTTGCCAGCAATATTACTTATATACCATGGATTGCTTATGCATGTGACTACACATTGTGGGGGTGAATTATAAAAATAAAAAAATTTACACCCTTAAATTTGTAAAAAATTAAAACATCTCTAGCTAAGATACAAGCTAAATATATATTCAAATGACGTTAGTTTAGCTCAGAGGTATGACATATTAAAAGCAAATACGCTGCCTTAATTTGTCACTCATTTTATTTTAAGATTGCTGGAGGGTCGTACACCAACATATTTACAATGTAACTGACTTTCAAGGACAAACAAAGCCTAATTTAGAAAGCCCGCCAAAAGTCATTCATCAGCAATTTTTCACGCATCAGCAATCTCAGCATTTGACAGTGGATGATGCATATATAGGTGGGTGGAGGATACCTCACAAATTTCCAAATTCGGAATGCATGGTCAACGTTTTGAACGCCACCATTTCTCCGGCGAACAATTGGTACACCATTTTGCCTATTT